ATCTAGGTCTAAGCATTAGACCTACTTTGGAATAGTGGTTCTGAGTGCACCAGCACTAAGGCTCCCCTACTAACAGCTGAAATCACTAAAGAGCTAGAATACTGTGTGCATTTCTAGTTTCCCATGGTTAAGAAAGATGAATTCAAACTTAAACAGGTGCAGAGAAGGGCTACTAGGGTGATCCAAGGAATGGAAAACCTAGCTTATGAGAGGACACTCAAAGAGCTTAGCTTGTTTAGCCTAACAAAAGGAAGGGTGAGTGGGAGATATGATTGCTCTCAATAAATACATCAATGGGATAAATACCAGGGCAGAAAAGGAGTTATTTAAGTTAAGCGCCAATGGGGACCCAAGAACAAATGACTATAAACTGGCCATCAAAAAGTTTAGGCTTGAAATTAGACGAAGGTTTCTAGCCATCAGAGGAGTGAAGTTCTGGAACAGCCTTCCAAGGGGAGCAGTGGGGGCAAAAAAATCTAACTGGCATGAAGACTGAGCTTGATAAATTTATGGAGGGGATGATATGATGGGATTGCCTACAATGGCATGTGGCCGATCTGCGACTGCTAGCAGCAAATATCTCCAATGGCCGGCAATGAGACACTGGATGAGGAGGGCTCTGAGCTACTACAGAGAATCCTTTCCCAGGTGTCTGGCTGGTGGGTTTTGCCCACATGCTCAGGGTCTAACTGATCACCATATCTGGGGTCAGGAAGGAATTTCCCCCCAGGTCACATTGGCAGAGACTCTGGCGGGGGTTTGCCTTCCTCTGCAGCATGGGGCACTGGTCACATGCAGGTTTAAACTAGTGTAAATGACGGATTCTCTGTAACTTGAAGTCTTCAAGCCATGATTTGAGGCCTTCCATAACTCAGCCAGAGGTTAGGGCTCTATTGCAGGGGTGGGTGGGTGGGCGAGGTTCTGTGCGATGCGCAGGAGGTCAGACTAGCTCATCATGATGGTCCCTTCTGGTCTAAAAGTCTATGCACCTGAGCTTTAGTGTAGGGGTGCACATGGGCCAGGGGAGCGCCCAGCATTGCTAAGGGGGAGGGGAGCGGACAGTGTGGCGAAGTCGGTGGGTAGTGCACAGTAAAGCTAAGGCAGAGAGGAGCACATGGGCAAGGGGAGGGCACCCTGTATAGCGAAGGCTGTGGGCAGTGCACGGGCAAGAGCATCGCACAGTAGAGCTAAGGCTGAGTTTCAGCTTCCGTTCCTCCCGGCCTCTTCCGTCCTTGTCTGAGAGCGTCCTGGCATGGTCTCACCCAGAGGTGAATGTTTTTCTGCAGCTTTGAGTGAGATTCAGTCACTTGCTTTTGGGGTTGCACAGGGGTGAAAGAAATCCCCTTTATGCCACTCCCAAACCTTGCTAAGAGGCCTTGTTTGCACACAGCACCCTCAAACTGTTACATGTGGAGTGGGGAGGAACAGAGGAGCTGTCCCTCCTCACAGAAGGGGACGGGAGGAGAGGGAGCAGAAGGAGCCTGGCAGCTCATGATGGCTCTGGGCCCTCTTCTGCCCTCCCCTCCTAGGAGCAAGGATGCCTCCCTGCTCCTGCCCCAATCTCCCTGTAACACCTGGCCTGGGAAGGAGGAGGGGTATGAAGAACACCTGGAGCTCCCCTCTGTCTGGAAGGAGGAGAGGGCCCTGCTGCAGCCTGGAGGGGTTTGAAGAATCCCAGTAGGAGCAGAAGGGGAATTATGAGGGGGGCACAGCTGATGGTGGGTTGAGCAGATAGCGGGGTGGGAGATAGAGGCAGAACTGATGGAAACTGGGGGATGAAACTGGGAACTTCAATTTGTTTTCCCTGTGTTTACCCTCATCCTATGTCTTTAATTTAGAAACATGTCGTTTACATTTAAATGCATTGGCGCTAAATTGTGTTGGTGCATTTTGACTTCCAGTGGTACACTTTTAATCAGGCACTTACCGTACATACTCATTCATTAGCCTGTTCGTTTATAAGTCGACCCCCCAAGATGGTTAGGTAAAAATAGCAAAAACTGTATGTCCCTTTCATAAGCCGACCCTATATTTCAGGGGTTGGCAGACTTTGGCTCCTGGCCCGTCAGGGTAAGCCGCTAGCGGGCCTGGACGTTTTGTTTACCTGGAGCATTCACAGGCACAGAGCCCCTCAGCTCCCAGTGTCCGTGGTTTGCCGTTTCCAGCCAATGGGGCGTGGGAATGGCGAACCGTAGCCACAGGGGAGCTGAGGGGCTCCATGCCTGCAGACGCTCCAGGTAAACAAAATACAATGTATTAGATATTCAATTCAATGATTCCATAGAGTTTAAAATCATCAAATTTTGGCGTAGACCCGTTTATCAGCCAACCCCCGCTCTTTGATGCATCACTTTTTTACCAAAAATATTCGGCTTATGAATGAGTATATACGGTATTTAGATACTTGCGCAACACAAAGTGATCCGTAACTGACATGCTTTCTTTAGATAACTTGATTGTGTGCTGCTCAGTACTTTTCCAAAAAAGGGACTGTACGAGTGAGTGTCAACATTTCGGTCAATAAGAAAGGGAAATTAGATGTCAGTTTATTTCTTGTGAGTTTAACTTCTAATTTTAATTAGTTTTAATAGAATTAATAGCATGCTGTTTGAATTTCATTGCAGTGTATTTGTATAATTATTTGTTTGCAAGATTTCACTGGAATATTGTATGCAGGCACAATTAACCTTTTATTTTGAGAATAATAAATACAACCCGGCACACAACTCTTGAAACGTTTCGATCCCTGGCTGATGGCAGGCTCACTAGAGAGCAAACACCTGAAGAGCCATTTGGCCTGCCAAGATTTGGACATTGCTTTATCCAGCCCACCAGAAAATGTCCTTGAATACCACTGCTGTAGGTAATTAGTTAATTAACGCTATGGCATTACTATATTTATTACTACCAGTTATGTGTTGAAATTAAAATGGTTTTGTTTGCCTCGGCTTTCGTGCGGCTTTACAATTGGTCTATCACATTTTAAACCTGGAACTGAAATAACCAAGCTACTTTAACAATAGAGTGTTTGGCATCAGGCAGGGTGGTGGTAAAACAGTAAAGGGAAGGAACTGAATATGCACCAAGGGCCACCCAAAAGGATAACATCTGCAGACTCCGATCAAATTTAATCCAGCCCTGCTTGTGATAAGCTACGGTACCTCACAGGATAGTTATTAGAACGGCTTGAAGTACACGGGTGATAGAGCCAGAGGGTTGATGCTAATCTGCTGCATGGAAACCATGGCTTTTCAGTAACCCCTGAGATCCACAGCTGTGTGTCTTGCATGAAAGAGCAAAAACTGAGAGGTTGGATGGAGTTGTTAATGTTACAAAAACTGACAAAAAAGCAACCAACCAAAATAGAACGGGGCGTTATCGCAAAGACAAGGATTTGAGGGGCTCAGCACTACCCCTCTAGTTCTCCATTGTCACCTTTCTTAGACGTCTTCGAACATGTCCGAGGAGGGGAGCCAAAAAAGGAGAGCCACTTGCTGTAATGTATTTAGACTTCCAAAAGGTCTCTCACAAGGGGCCTCTGTAGTACCACTAGAGTAGTCAGGGGTGAGAGGCAAAGTGTTGCCATGGATCAAAACCTGGCTAGGAGTCAGAAGGAAAAGAATGGCGTAATGGTCAATTTTCATCATGGTCAAAGATTAACAGCAGGGGGCACTACGGTTCCAAACTAGGGTCTGTGTTCTTTATTTGATTTATTTCAGCTAATTGATTACTAAAAGGGGGTGAGCAGCAGGGTAGGAAAATTTGCAGAGGACACAAACTTATTTAGTTGAGGCAGGACCAGAGAGGATTGGTGAGAAACATCAAAGCAACCTCAACAAGCTAGGGGAATGGGCAACACAATGGCAAATAAAATTCAATGTTGATAAATGCAAAATAAGGCATATGGGAGGGAATAATAGAAATTACTCAAACCTTACAGGGTTTTAATTAGCTCTGTCCACTCAAGAAAGGGACCTGGGTGTCATTGTTGACAGCTCAATGAAGACCTCTGCTTAATGTGCAGCTACAGCCAAAAAAGGAAAGAGGATGTTAGGATGCACAAGGAAGGGGATCAAGAATAATACAAAAACATTATAAAACCATAGAAATGTAGGTCTGGGAGGTCCCTCAAGAGATCATCAAATCCAGCCCCTTACAATGAGGTGAGACCAAGTAAACCTAGACCATCTCTGACAGGTGTTTGTCTAACCGGTTAAAAACCTCCAGTGATGGGGGGTGGAATTCCACAATCTCCCTTGGAAGCCTATTCCAGTGCTTAACTATCCTTTATAGTTAAAAAGTTTTTCCCAATATCCAGCCTAAATCTCCCTCGCTGCAGATTTAGCCCATTACTACTTCTACCTTCAGTGGACATGGAGAACAATTGAGCATGGCTATGGCTGCGAGTTTGTCACGGAAGTAACAGTTTTTGTGACTTTTTGTGACCTCTGTGATTTCTGGAGTGGCTGGTGCGCCTGGCTCAGGGGGCAGCTCAGGGAGCTCCTGCGCCAGTTGTACCGGTCGCTGCTGGGGCAGTCTCAGGTCACTGCCAGCAGAGTTGGGTGTGGGATTGGGGCACAGGCCGGGGTGAGGCGGGCTCTGGGCCGCGCTTACCTGGGGGGCTCCCCGGAAGCAGCGAAATCCCCCTTGCTCAGCTCCTAGGCAGCTCTACGTGCTGCCTCAGCCTGCAGGCACAACTCCTGCAGCTCCTATTGGCCGCAGCTCCCAGCCAATGGGAGCTGTGAAGCCAGTGCTCTGGTTGGAGGCAGTGCGCAGAGCTGCCTGGCCACGCCTCTACCTAGATGATGAGCAAAAGGTGGAAGTATTAAACACTTCTCCCTTCTTGATGTCCTCGGTTATTAGCTCTTTCCCTGCTAAATAGAGGACCTACACTTTTCTTCATCTTCCTCTTACTCCTAATGTATTTAAAGAACCTCTTCTCATTCCCTTTCATGTCGCTTGCTAGGTATAACTCGTTTCTTGCCTTAGCCTTTCTGATTTTTTCCCTACATGCTTGTGCTATTCTTTTGTTCTCCTTTAGCAATTTATCCCCAGCATGGTCAGCTTGTCTGGATGACCCAGAAAGCAGAACCCTGAGCGGAGCGATAGGAGCTGTGTGAGTGGAGCAGAGAGACACTGGACTAGTGCTCTGGTGTATAGTATGAAACAGCAAGTGCCAAATGGCATGGCTTGGGAGGCAGAGGGCCCCAAAGCCAAAGGGGCGAACCCAGGCAGGAGTGTCACCTGCTGTACAGCACGCAGGGCAGACACAGCTCAGAATGGCTGTATTCTGCTCCGATGGGCACTGGCTGGGGAGAGCGACAGCTATCAGAAGTGGCAAAGGTTACACTGTCGTGCCAAATGCTGGATCAGTTTGGTTTTTAGAAGGTACAAAGCTTTATTTTCAGCACAGCAGTCACAACGGCACGCTCATCTGGGCAGCACCCTTCTCTGCTCTCCCCACTTCACAAGAGTGTCCACCCCCCACCATCCTGCTTCCCCTGCTCACCTGGCTTCACCCTCTCTCCCTGACAGATCCGAAGATTTTCCCCATCACCAACAGGAAGCACCTGAGCAATGGAGGCACTTTCCTCTCTGATCTAGTGCTTTGTCTCTGTCACACTGTGTGGTGAGGAGTGAGAGCATGAATTATGGGGCAGGCCCATGGTGAAAGTATGCATGGGCTCCCTGCCCGAGGGTTCTGTGACTCCCTCAGGTAGACTAGCCCATGTTGGTTGGACATGTGGCCGGAGTGCCCTCCTCCTCCACTCCTCAGGGCCTGCCTTTTCATACATCGTAAGAAGGGCCTGTTAGCTGCTTCCCTGCGCCCCTCCCAGAGAAGGTGCATAGGGCTTATGGGGCAGTCAGCTTGCAGGTTTCTAAAATTCACCCCTCTTTCCTCCTGTTGCAGCAACACAGATGTTCACACCGTGGCGTCCCTCCTGAAGCTTTATCTCCGAGAGCTGCCAGAGCCCGTCATCCCCTTTGCCAAATATGAAGACTTCCTGTCATGTGGACAGCTGCTCTCCAAGGACAAGGGAGAGGTTAGTGCTCCTTCTATCCTTCCTTCTTTTACCCTCAGTGCCATTCCTGGAGCCTCGCGACTCAACGAAAAGCAGCCTCTCCATTTTCTCCTCCAGGGCCTGAGCCAAAGCCCACTGAAGTCCGTGGGAACCTTCCCCGTGACTCTGATGGGCTTTGAATCAGGCCTTAACATTGTAAGCTCCAGCTTGAAGCTGGCGTCTTTCGCAGGTTAGTCTTGAAATCCTGTGGTTCTGTGTCCATCGTGTACGTTTTTATGTACTCTTGGGATATGGCTGTTTCTTCCTTAGCAGGGCTGTCCTCTAGGCATTGCAGTAACTGTGAGTCAGGAGAGCTGGATTTTATTTCCGGCTCTGCTCCTGTGATTTAGGACAAGTCCCTTTGCCTCAGTGTCTGATCTCTTCCTTGGGGATAATAATTCCTACCTCACAGGGGTATGGGGAGGTTTTTCGAACCGTCGTTTGTGAAGGGCTTTGAGTTTTTCAGAGGAAAGGAGTCAGAAAAGGGCAAATTATATTCTCCCGTGTGGGTATGAGGGGAAATAACACTTAGCACCTCTACAGCACCTTTCATTTGAGGGTCTTTTCTTCAGCTTCTTCCCTATCTTATTCCAAGCAATGGAAGGGACTGAAAGAGCCCTCCAGCTCTCTGGCGGTGGTGGAGATTCGGGAGGGCCGTTTCTCCCATGGACTGCTCCTTGTCACTGTGATATCTGAGCCCTCTGCCGGACAGCATGTCAGAGCTGCTGTCGTCTGTGTGACTGTCACTTTCGAAGTGGGGATTTTATAAGCCTGATTCTAGTGTCAGCCAAAGAAGAACAGATGCCTGTGGAGTCAACAGTCTTGGGTTCGATCACCTCTGACATGTATGTGTGGTCCATAGTACCGGCCCATATCTCCCTCTATTGGCTGCTCCTAGTGGCCTATAATACAAACCTGCTACTTACAGCGAGTTACACAGTTAGTTACGCTCTAGCTCAAGTGGCAAAGGTCTGTGTAGTGATGCTGATGGTCCCGGATTCAATCCCTGCTGAGGATGTACAGGTGTGGCCACCATTTGCAAAGCATGTGGTGCAGCTGAGAAGCCTGGATTCTGTATTCAGCACACAGATTTCTTATGCTATGACACAAGCACAGCCGCTCTGCTGCCTATAAAAAGCAGCAGCACTTTAGCTGGTTTAGTTTGGTGGTAATGTGGACTGGGTTTAACCTGCACAGACTGTGGAGAGAGATTTGGATTCCCGAAGCCTGTTACACAAGAGCAGACTCAATGCCAAGTTTGGCAAACGTCATTTTATATCCTCATTTAGTTTATAACCGACACAGTTCGCCTGTATTTCTCTGTCCTGGCTGCAGTTGTCTGGGAAGCAGCATCTGAGTTGCTTTTGTGTGAATGATGCTAGACAGAATTGTATTGTATTATTCTGTCTGGCATAGAGCATTGCCCATGCCTTGGCGGTGTCTCTTTAAGCCACTACTGAAAATGCACTTGTCATAACTTCTGAGTTGTCAAGAAGATTTGGAGTCTCAGTGTGGGTTGTTTCCTTGAAGGAACGGGAACACACACAGCACAGACGGGATTTCCTCAGTCATTACTTGCCCAGTGGAGCGGGTAGCACAGTTTAACATGGAACCCTGCACTGGCCCATCGAGCTGGCTGAACTTTGTGTGGAAGGTTTTCTTGCTGAAAAATGCAGTTTCATTGAAACTGAAGTTTTTCCTGGGGAAAATGTTGATTCTGATGAAAAATGTCAGGTTTCCCCTGGGGAATTTTGAAACCAAAGTTTGTTTTGAATCAATACTCCTAAAAACAAATGTTCACTTCAGCTGTCAGTTTTTCAGTTTTTCTGAATGAAATGAAAATCTTAGTTTTGAATTGGATGTTTTGACTTAAAAAGTCAAAATGTCTTTTCATTTAATTTGTTTCAGACTGAAAAAATTGACATTTGAAGTCAAAAGTTCAATTCAGAATAAAACTAACAAAAATTTGCTTGAAAAATCTGTTATATTGAAATGAAAACTTTTTGTTTTGTTTGAAAAAGTTGGTTTTGAAGCAGTTTGAAATTTCCCATGGGAACTGAAATTTTTTGGCCAAAAACTTTTGAGTGAAGCTTTCTTCATTTAAAATTTACCCCACTAAAAATGTCTCTATTGATCCTCTGTTTTGAACAGAGATGGGTATCATTATATAAAACATTTAGTACTGCTCAATGCATCTGCCCTCGCCAACTGCATCAAACCAGCTTCAGGAGGTGTTCTAAACTTTGTGTTTGTTATCCAATTGCCCAGAGCTCCCCAGGTCAGTCCCTTTCGCCACAGGCTCTCTGTGTAACAACTTCTCTTCCAACACTGATCCAGGCCCCTCAGCTCTGGTACAACTCCAGTGTGGCTGCTATAATGCAGACAGGTTTTTAACAGTGTCCTTGAACAATGATAAAACCTCCAGGTGCCCTGGCGTGGCTGTAGGGCTGTAAATGGGACAATGGCAGGAGCACAGCATTTCTCAGGGTATTTTGACACTTTGGTTCTGGTCTCAGCCAGTGCAGGGCAGTGCCCAGGTGCATGAGAATGAAAAACTGGGGGAACACTTTGAAACCTTTTAAACAATCATGTGAGTTCAGTCTGAGCTCTCCTGGTAGTATTTTTGGCCTCTCCACTTCCACATGGAAGAGCACTCATGGAATTAATAAGCTAGTAAATAGCTTGGGACATATAAAAAGGGGATTCGGTTTAGTGTTTTGGGGCAAAGATTTGAGTGACTTTGCTGAACCCTGGTTTTCCTAGTCCAAGCTGGAGGCTCCCATGTTAGCCTTAGTTCTGTTTTGCACCTTGGAGAGTCCTGAAACCAGTCCTTGTGAAGCAGTTTCCTGTAGGATTGGTGCAAAACACTGTAGTTTACATTAGTGTCACTCCAGAGGGTTGAGCCAATAATAAAACACACTGCATTGGTAAGTGAAAGAGTACTGGAGCTAACTGGCTCTCATGGGCTATCCCAGCCATCACGCATGCCCAGTGCTATTAGACCATTTCTGCCTAGTGCTCTTAGCATTCACGACGGTGGCTTTCACACTTTCCTGTGGTGGTGGTGCTTTCAGCAGCGGTTGGTCTCAGTGTCAGTGGATGCCAGCTTGTGACAGAATGACGAGTGCTTCTGCAAAGTCTGCAGCAGTAAAGATAGAAGTTTTATCTGGCAAATATCTGCACCGTGATCAGTCCGTGGACGCCATCTTTCTAACCCCATTTTCTCTGTCTACCGGCTTTGGGCCCTGCATCAAACTGACCCTCCAACTGATGAGAGAAGGATCAGGTGCAGCTCCCATTGCAAAGCCCTCTGCTCAATCCTGTGGGGCCATGGCATGGAGCAATTTACCAATACACAAAGCCAGATTCTGCCCTGACCAATACCTTTGAAGCGAATAGGGTTGCACAGAGTGAAAGCCAGGGAAGAATTTGCCCTGTTAGTTCAATTTCTTGTAAATCAGGCCCATCTCTACAAATATAGTAAAATAACTTGTTTAGAGTCACTTAAAAACTGAGCTGAACTTTCATCCCAAACTACAACTGTACCTGAATCGAACCTTTTCGGAGGTTCAAACATCTATGGCTGGCGTTTTCACAACTGACTAGTGATTTTGGGTGCCACCATTTTTGTCACCACTAATCAGCCCTGATTTTCAGGAAGTGCTAAGCACCTGCTTTCCCTGACCCTTTTAAGGTGTCTCAAGTTGGACTTCCAGATATTAAAGCATCCAACTAGTCACTTTTGGAAATCTTGGCCTTAAATTTTCCTTTTTAATAACTAGATTTCCCCTCCCTTCACATCTTGGAACTTACTGGATTGGGCTGGGAATGGAAGCAGAAATAGTGAAATGTTACAAGAAGGGTGTTTTTTCTCTTTCTTTGGACTATTCTCTGAAGCTCTTCTGAATTTATCTAATGTTTTCCCCTAACCTGTGAAAAGTAGCCTTTTTTTTTAAATTTTCCCATCACTACTTAATAATCCATAACTTAGTGTCCTCAAATGGTCTGTCAGCGCAAGAAGGGACTGGATGGCTTGCAGGGTAGGGCAGGCAATGGCCTATAGAATCTTTCACCTTCAGTTCAGTTGCAGCTTGATTTTTGCGATGTGGAGAAGAAAAAGTGAGGTGCAATTCTTCTAACCGTCTGCTGTGTGGGAGTTCGTTAAATCTCTCTGAGGAAGTTGCAACGTGTCACAGGCTGCCTCGCCTCACATTTATTGTGAAAATCCAGCTGTCTACCCCAAATCTATGGTTATGAAGAAGGTTATCACAGCTCATTGCATGAGAAATGCGAGAAGTAAAATCACAGAAAATGGAGCCGTTGCCTGTTGTCTGTTTTTAAAACCTGCGTTCCTGCCCAGTCATCAGTTGCACTGTTCATGGCAAACTGGTAGCTAAGCAGGCAAATAAGCTGGTCAAATTGTATTGGTATCTAAGGACAGATTCAAAAGAGTGGTAATCATAAATAACTAAGGCACTGTCCACCACCCATTGAAGTCCATGGGGCAGTTTCCATTGACTTTAATGAGCGCTGACTCGAGCAGTAAAGGTTTAGTGACTTGATCAGTATCTACTGGTGGTTGGTGTACAGAATTTTTCAACCTCTTCATTTTGGACAGTATGTGCTTTTTATGCTGGAGGAATCAGTCTGCTCACGTGGTGAACTGCAGAGCATGTAGCTTGTTTCACTTCATAAAACACAAGTGTGTGTCATCGTTGTGTTCCCCCGTCCCCCCCGCCACCGCCCATTTCTCTTTCCCCAACGGAGTGGGGTTTTTTTTGTTTTTGTTTTGTTTTTGTTTTGTTTTTCCAGAAAATTCCAAGCAGGGTTTTTCAGACTGGGGAACAGCCCAGGCACTCTGCTCAGGGGTAACTCCTGCTGCTTACTATGCAGATGCAGTGGTCACTTTCCAGCAGAACCAGTGAGGTTCTGCTGCACAAACTGAGGCAAGATTGGGCGGGGGGTGTACAAGGTGTGTACAAGGTGTGTATATTCCAAGAGGTGTGGATCCCATCTTCATGGGGGTGCAGTGCGCATTGGCTCATGGGAACCTGGGGGTAGGTTAGGGCAAGCTACAGGAGTGGGGGGTGCCCTACCACTCAGCTTATTTTTTCCCAGTCCCCCACCTTTACTAATAAAGTGACAACATTTGGTCAAGTCCTATAGAAAGGAACTAAACAAGAAGCCCCACAAAGCCATTTTTGCAGTCACTGCTCAAAGTAGAACTGCCTGTTAGGCATGAAACTCGATGTCAGGACTCCTGGGTTCTTTTCCTGATTCTACCAGAGTGTTGCCATGGAGAAATCCTGTTGCCTCTTTGTGTCTCAGTTTCCCTGCTTGTAAAATGGGAATAATACTTTCCTACCTCTCCAGGGGCTATCGAGGCTAAATCCATTGTACAGTGCCTTGAGATTCTTGCATGGAAGTGCAAAGGTCATTATCGGCAGGAGTGAGTTCTGCTCCTCTGCAAGACAGGGGTAGTGTAAGTGCTGTGTTACAGATGGGGAAACTGAGGCACCGAGGTGCAGTGCCTTGCCTAAGGCCAGTGGTAGAATTTGTGCTGGTGAAATCGGGAGATGTAGAGAGTAGGATTTGATAGTGTCTGGTGGACTGGGGGGGAGGAGGGTCAGGCGCCAGTGGGTCGCAGAGCTGGGGATCTCGCTCTCAGATCAGTGCCTCCGTAAAATGATGGCGGGAATTGAGTTTGCAAATTCTAGCCCCCC